ATTTCTTAATGTAAAACATATACTCTTAAGAAACAGTGACCGGCAAAACCGCTTTGAAGCTTTTCCTAGATGGGGGGTGCGCTTTTTCGAGACTTAAAACGGAAAAATTTACACTAGATTGCTGAGTCGATAAACGTTAGCACTATTAAAAGAAACCAATTGTATTAAAACGTATTGTACGATTGTCGAACTGTAAAATACGTTAGTGACTTTTATCAAGATGGTGCAGGGGGGCGCTTTTAGGCTAAATAAAATAGCAAAATTACACAGGATTCTGAGTAAACAAACTTTAGCTCTCAGAAAGAAACGAATTGTACTGTGCATTGTATAATTGTGTAACATTTAAAAAAAAGTTAGTTACGTTAAAAACCGCTCTACAAACTTTGTCCAAGATGGTTGTGATGAGTGTGTGTGGGGGCGCTTTTTTCGCTAACAAAAATCGCAAGTATTTGTACTGGATTGGTGAGCAGATAACTCTCTTAACACTTAGTAAAGAAACCAAGTGTATTAACGCGTAATGTACAATTTCAATAGCCAGTTTTGTTAAAAAAAAAAAAGACGCGACTAGTTCTTTGTAAGATTCTTACGATTCTCTCAACTTCAACGTGAGAGATCAGATACTTTTTATTGATTGCATTACATCTTACCTTGATCACTGAAATATATTAAAGAGAACTAAATATCACGGATTCTTGTATGTAATACACCAAGTGTATTAACGCGTAATGTACAATTTCAATAGCCAGTTTTGTTAAAAAAAAAAAAAGACGCGACTAGTTCTTTGTAAGATTCTTACGATTCTCTCAACTTCAACGTGAGAGATCAGATACTTTTTATTGATTGCATTACATCTTACCTTGATCACTGAAATATATTAAAGAGAACTAAATATCACGGATTCTTGTATGTCACTTGTGTGTCCTTACTCTAACAAACTTCGAATCCAACTATGTACCATATCACAACAGAGATCGTTCCAAAACTAGAACATAAAAGGCTGGTCTAAACATATTATCGTTAGCTACAAACTACCCTCTAACACAGATCAGGCTTATTTTTTTTTTTACTGACATTACTAATCTTTCGCAAAAAAAGTTAAACGCATCTTAATGGGAATTAAATTGTCGTAAAGTTTTAAGGAATGAAAATCATACAATGTAATTATTAAACCTTGTCCGGACTGTAGCATACACGCTTACACACACGCTTACACACACAAATACACTCTTACCCACACACAAGCTTATATATAAACACACTATCACACACACATAATTATACACACACACACATGTATATATATATATATATATATATATATATATATATATATATATATATATATATATATATATATATATATATATATATATATATATATATATATATATATATATATATATATATATATATATATATATATATATATATATATATATATATATATATATATATATATATATATATATATATATATATATATATATATATATATATATATATATATATATATATATATATATATATATATATATATATATATATATATATATATATATAAAAGCGAGGGGGGGGCGCCAAATTGAAAGTTCGCCCCGGGCGCCGGAATGGGTCGCTACGCCTCTGTGATTATGTCGCTATTTATCACTCAATGTCTAACGCTTTATTTGAGACAGTTGATCTTTAGCCTCTTACCGATACATCAGAGAGCCTGACAGTTACTACATTATAGGTGAGATACAATAACTAGTTACCTTTTGTTATCTTGTGTGTGGTGATTAGTACTTTGTCTGGTGTCTCAGTCTAGCCCAGCTGTCGCATCGAGATTGCACGCGTTTAGTAGGTTGTTTCAAGCACAGTATACATAATTATTGCAACAATGACACTTAGACTATCATATTTTAAAGTTTTATAAAACAAAATGCAGTTTTTTCGAAACGTAACTCCGAAAGAAATTCAGAGTTGCGTTTTAAAGCATATTAATTAATTAGTTATAATGTAAAGCAGAAATAATGCATATTCTCTACCCCTTACCACTGTACAGTTTTAAAACAGTAAAGAAACAGGACACGCCACAAAACGAAGCCATTTTATAATAAACCGGGAGTGATCTCCCCTAAACTTTCTCGAATATTTTTATATAAAATAACAGGGGATGGGAACTCGGGCTATGGACATGATTTTTAATCCATTTTAAATACTTAAAGTTTTAAAAATAGAATATAATCTCGTAGACAAAAGAATTGCACACCAAGTGAACGCTAAATAAAAAAGTGCATAATACTGCGCAATATTATTGGTACTTTAAAAAGTTACATTAGTTTTTTGAGAAATCGGAAGTAGCGTAAATTACTACTTCCGGTCAACGGAAATGACTCAACATTTAATAGATGATAGAGAATTAGATCTTTTACTTTCATGTGTAATTTAGTTTATCTATCTGAAATAGTACTCAAGTTGTAGGCTTTTGAAAATTTCAAAGTAGGAAAAGTACCACTTCCGGTTATCGGAAATCGCTCAAAAGTTGATACGGATCTACGATTTTGATAAAAATACTTATATATGAAATTTCATCAACCTAGCTGTAACGGTACTCAAGTCATCGTGTTTACACACACACACAGACAGACAGACACACAGACAGACACACTGACATACGGACAAGATTGCAAAATTATGTTTTTCCGTATCAGTGAGATGTAAAACGTCGAGATTTGTAAAAATCTCGCTTTTTTTTTTTTTTTTTTTTTTGCACGATTACAAGACTTTCTCTATACTACGTATATACGAGAAAGTAAAAAGCATAAAAATAACGCGTGAACCTTTTTACTTGATTTTTAACCTCTGTAATGTTTGAGTATCAAAATAAAGCGAGAGTGATCTCCCCTAAATTTTTTCGAATATATTTATATAACACTACGGGGGATTGCAACTGACATAATTTTAGATACATTTTTAATTATTTAAACTTTTAAAAATAGAATAGAATCTCGTAGAAAAAGAATTCCGCACTAAGTGAACAGCAAACAATTTGTGTATAATAGTGCGTAATATTATTACTTTATAAATTCATATACGTTTTTTTGAAAAATCGGAAAAGTACTACTTCCTGTCAACGGAAATGCTCAAACTTTGACAGAAGGCAGAGTTTAGATCTTTTACTTTCGTCTATTTATCTGAAACAGTACACAAGGTATAGGCTTTTGAAAACCACCAAATATAATAGGTTCCACTTCCGGTTACCGGTAATCGCTGAGAAGGAAACACAGAACTACAAATTTGATATAATACTTGTATATGAAATTTAAATCAACCTAGCTGTAATGGTACTCAAGTAATCGTGTTTATATCCACACATACTCACACACGCACACACACACATACTGACACAATTGTAAAACAGTGTTTTTTTTCGTACGATTGCAATACTTCCTCTATTATTCGTATCCGAGAAAGTAAACAATTACTAAAAGTTTATATAGTTTAAACATGTTATTTATATATCTAGTATAAAGTAATAATAAAGTACGTTAAAGTAAAACATACGTTTTGTAAGCTAAAATCAAACATACTCTCTTGTAGCTTTCTTTTTTTTTTTAATAATTGATTCTAGAATAAGTAAACGATATGTAGGACTAATGCACAGTCAGCTGTAACGCGAAACAGATCTGCTCCGAAGACAAGATGAGATGTTTGTCCTGACTGGTTACACTGCTAACTGCTGCAATTTATCGTTATTCTAATTTGAGGAGTCGGGTAATTCACAAATAGCTTGAATACTAGCTACGCCATTGGTAGTACTGCAGCCTGTAATGTACATAGTGTAATTATTTGTAGGATTTAGAAAAACACAGTTCTCCCCAGTATGATCCTGCGGCTGACCTGTAGACCAATTAAAAAACTGTGGTGGTTTCTGGCTGTGCCTAAATTTAAATGTTGCTGTTGGACTTTCTTTGTAAATCCCTGTGTAGATTTGTTTTAATACATATTTCGTGTTGTTTAATAGGCCCTGCACCACGCCATATTCCCTAGCGTCGTCTATTTCAACCAGGTAACCACCGTACATCTGACATAAAATCTCACCAAAGTCCACGTTCTGGTAGCCGTTTCTAGATACAGAATATGTTGTATTTCTGTCGCGGACACTTTGACTAAATAGCCAGTTCTTCCTGTAACTTTCCATTGCAATATTATAGTGCTCTATAGTTTGAACATTTGCCTGTGTTCTCTCGCTGATCGACTCCAAATGAGACATGTTTTTAAAGAAGACGGTCATCAGACTGTTTAGATCTCTGATGTCATTTTTAGCCAAGTTCAAGTCTACATCCAGTTGTTGTATCTTTTCCAACAGCTGGTCACTATCTGGTCGTCTGGTTGTCACCTGAAGGTAGTCATTTAAGTTAACATTATGTCCAACAATATCCAGACCCTGACATGCGCACACGTAGTGTCCAGCCTGCTCCTCTGTGGGATACTCCCAGTGTAGTTCTAGAAAAGAGTTACCTGTAGCTTGAATGGAGCCGTTGGCTGTAAGACGTTCAGATGCCAGGACATTGACACGTTCACCTGTAAAGGTGATCACTGAGGCCAGGTCTGTGTAGGGGCTGGAACTGTTGGCAGAGCGCGATACGATGATGGACAAAACGGTTGACATGTTCTGCTGGTTGCTCTGGTTGACGTCACACCTAACTGTGAGTGACGTCAGACCAAGATCGATCACCACAGGGTTAGCAGACAGGTGAACTACACCTCCTGAAAAAGGTATCGATTATTCGTATAAGCAATATTTTATAATAATTTATCTACTCATATATTTAGATTATGTTTTTATTAATAATAATCGTCACATATTTTGGATATGACAATTGATAAGCTTCCTGCTAAACTTGAAATGACTTAAAATACAAACAAAAAGAAGACGTAAAATATTATAGTTGGCTTTCAGTGCAATGGAAAAAAATCAAACTGAACTAAACGTGTTATTTAAATAACAGAAATACCTGTCAGTTGTGCTTGTAACACAAAGAACAGACTCAGTAAAACAATGGATGCCATGTTGCTAGCAGTAAAAGCTCGTTCCTATTCAGTCGGACTGCAGTGACGATCTAACAGTATCAGTTAATGATAACAAGGTAATGTTACGATTCCAAGTACTGAATAGATAATTTAAGTTGCGATTACCAAATGTGTAAGCACACACAGTAGCGTATCTAGGACGGTTGTCAGATGTCACCGCCCCTACCCCCCACGAAAGAAAACAAATATATACAATACAAACGATGTTTAACTATTGTCGGTTATACAGCTGGATGTAACATTGTTTTCTGTATCGTTAGCATGTTTAGATTATGGTGTTACCTCCACCCCCATCCTAGTCGGGGTTTGTCAACTTTGCTCTTAAATGTCCATTTTAATGTTATTAAAAAATTATTTAGCAATTAACACTACTTTATCATATTATGACATTCCCAATTGTACAATGTCAATTTTCTAAAATATGTGTAATGATATAGGCCCTTACCTAAATATATAAGTAAATAGTATTACATGTACTTAAAAGTATAAACATATTAGTAATACCTGCGGCTAGTGTATACAACACCAGGAACATATTTAGACAAAGTATTGATCTCTTTTCCAGTTGCCCCAGGTAAAAGGTAGCTTCTCGCTAGGTCGATTGCACCAAGGTTCAAACAATATCAGTTTATAAAAACAAGTTGATTTTAGTACTAGGGCACTGTATAGATTAGTAAGTTAGAAATATTACACAATTAGTGGCCTGTAGTAAGCAACAAAATTAACCATATAGAATAAGTAGACGATTTTTATCTCTCTTGCGTGATTGATCCGCTTAATATCTACGGCCTGATTTAATTTTTATTAGTGTAACTGATGTTATAGCTGAAAAACTAAAGTGTTAGATTAAATTATCACGCTCACGTCAGTGATTAAATATAAATAATACACAATCAGTGCCGGCCCCTGGTTATTTAGCGCCTTAGGCAAAACTTATTAAAACGACGCCCTTCCCCCACTCCCCTACTCCAAGTAAATTTTATCGGGCTCCCATTTTATTTAAATATAAATACATATTTTTCATACTACAAATTATTGGATTTTTCATCTGTATGCGATAGTTACTGTAAAACAATCACTGCTGCAGTTTATTCGTTTTTTGTTTTCATAAAACTAGTCGATCAATGTGCAAAAAAAATGTATTTTTTTGTCGGATTTAGCTTCCCCTCTGGCGGTATAGTAGTTCCAACCCTGTAATTAAATTCAATGTTCCAAAACTGCGCTCTCCACAAGCCATAGTATTCTCAAGGAAACAACAATATTTGGTACACAATCTTCCATTTTTGGTGTACTATATAGAGAAGCACATCTGATGATTAGGTAGGTAATTCTTGACGCTCATTGCAAAGATCATCCGCATAATATAGGCCTCTTTATTAGCCTTATCGACGTTTCTACTTGTTTGCAGTCAGTAAGTCAATCCGCTGGTACTTTTTGTTGATAAGGGATATATTTCTCCCAAAGACTGAATGCGTATACTCAAGACAGTGTAGCGCCGCCTCTGTACTTAATGAAAATGCAGAAATGATTGCGTCAGAAAAAAGTAGTCCGAAATGTCATGCGTAAAGTGTGAGTGATCTTCCCTAAACTTTCTTAAAAACTCTTATGTAACAGTATGGGGGTGGCACTTGCAGTGCAATAGGGCTTTCCTTATATAGGCTGGAACCGCTCGCTGTTTTTTTTTTTTAAATTATTTTAAGGAAACACAAGAAGAACAAATTTCTTACAACAATATTACGTACCTCTACCGCTAGTATAGAAAACACAATACCCGAATTCGTTTTGGATGGTCACAGACTGATGACTTACGAAACTAAAAGATTACCAGACAACAAACTCTCCGTGGACTCGAATATAATGTCTAGTGTAAAACCCCACACGAAGACCTTCTGCAACTAATAATATTTTAAATCAATCTACAACCTTCTAATATGTATACTAGTCTAAATAATAAATAGATATGTAAAATCAAGAGAAATATACAAATAATGAAAGGCCCAACTTACGAGTTTAAGAATAACACACTGAAACTACTAACACTGGATAAGGCACCTAAGTAATCAGCACAACCTACACGTTATTAAAATGAGACACAGAAAAACACTGAATACACTGGTACCTACTTAGAAATAATTGCTGCTTAAACTAGAAAATGCAACATGGCGTCGTACGTGGCTCTTTCTCACCGTAACTGTCTAGTGGGCTTCTGTGCGAGGAAAATTCCTGCCTTATATAAGACTCCAAAATTATGGGATGTCGACCTAAATGTGAAGGACCATTGGGAGGAAGTAGCCAAAGCACGAGCCATACGAACTCAGTGGTGAATTTTATCACATGAGCGTGATGGAAAATGTCTTTAGTTTGAATAACAGACCACTCAAGGCCAATTAAATAATCATAAAATCAAACAATTAAAAAAAGAAAACCTAAGTAGGTCACAACAAGGTTGATGAGAATATGATATGTATCGAAGTCGAAGGTGTAAGATAAATCAGAAAAGAGGCAAAATACCAATTATACTTTTTTTGCTTCAATATACACACTTTAAAAATTAATTAAATATAACAAGACTACCTAGTTTCCAGTTGGATACGGAGTGTTGGCTGCATTGCAAAACACAAACTAATGTAACATTACGCACATCGGGACCCTCTATATATCTTTATTGAAGCCCTGTTTTTAGACCAGAAGACCAACCCAATCCCTAAGGCCATCTATTTATGATCTCCATATAAATATAAAAAATAACAAAATAAAAAATTAAATAACTTACTAAATAAATTACTAACTAATTATATAACTAACTATATATATATATTATATGTGTGTGTGTGTGTGTGTGAAATTTCGTCCACTAAATGAAAAGATATCACGTTACCAGTATTTTAGAAAAACTAGAATATAGTAACACTTCCAGTTTTCGTAGGTCACTCGCAAATTGAAAGTAATCCAGGTAAAGGATCTTGTATATCACATTTAATCTACATAACGGGAAAGTATTCAAGGAAATAGAGAAACCTGTACATACACAGTTATACTTAAATGTAAAACTTAGTTTTACCAATTTTAGCGGTACTCAAGTTATCGGCTTTTAAGAAATCGGAGGAAGAGTAAGTACCACTTCAGGTTACCGGAAATCACTAAAAAGTTGTAACATGAAAGCTACAAGTTTGATAAAACATTTTAAATGTAACATTTCGTCAACATAGCTGAAAAACTAGAATAAACAGTACAATCTACATCATTTGTCGCGGATGGGGTTCTTCAAGGGTAAGAAGAAGGTGTCAGTTAGGATGAAGAAGCATTACATAGGTGGGGTGGTTATAATGGGAAATGATTACTGTTGCGCCGTGCAGCCGAGAGAAAATTTTACAACTGTAATCTAGGTCGCCTAGTGTTTTATTAAACTTTTTACTTTTGAATATATTATCCGTGTAATATAATGATTGGTTGCATCTGCGAACAAGATTCTAAAATTGTAAAATGTAAAATCGAATACAATGTTTCACTCGTTATTTAATATCTAAATCTCGATGTTAACACGTCTTTTACAAAGGCCGCAAACTAAAACATTCTATTTAAAATTTATATTTGACACTTAAAGTTTCACTCTTTTTTGATAATTGTAATATATTGAGAATTGTAAAGTCAAGGGAACTCACTCTTCTTGTATTAGTATTATATTTATAATGTTGTTTTTGAGTGATGCCCTTGTATTATTGTCTAGTACTTCCTGTTCCTGTTTCCATCATGGTGGCTGAGGCCCAATAAAGTTCTATATACAAACAGCATGGTTTCTATTGTCAGTGTTTCAATCTACCTCAATTGGCGACGAGGATAAATCAATCCACTAGAAAGAGCACCTGCTTACTTAAAAAGAAGTTGGCTAGAGCATATTGGCTAAGTATTTCTAGGATAATGGCGCTGTATGGCCAAATAAAAGAATTTGATTCGAATGATGAAACCATTCATGATTATCTAGATAGGTTAAGCTTTTACCTTGAAGCTAACGACGTGACGATAGAAGCCAAAAAGAGAGCTGTTTTGTTAACAGTCATAGGGCCTTAACAATTTAGGCTATTAAAGGACTTATGCGCACCAGCTAGTCTAATTACCAAGAGCTTTAATGAGCTGAGCAAACTGCTAACAGACCACCATGCGCCCGCACCATCAAAGTTCCTGTGTAGAGCCAGATTTGACGGTAGGACTCGTCAACCAAACGAATCAATATCAGAATATGTTGCTGCTTTACGTCATTTAAGTAGATTCTGTGAATTTGGAGACACGCTGTCTGACAGACTATGTGAAAAGTTTGTTACAGGTGTAAATAGCCCTGATGTTCAAAGAAAGTTGCTTCTCGAGTCAGATCTCACATTGGAAAAAGCAATACAACTAGCAACTTCATTCAAGCAGTCATCTGAAGCGGCGAGATCTCTAACGCCCTCAGGGATCCATGCAGTAAACAGCAGGTTAGTCAACAAACACCAACCCCATCAGAGCATTTCAACTTATGCTAAACAGCCTGCATGTTCAAATCCTAGATCTAAATCTAGTAATAATTATCAAAAATGTCATCGATGCAACGGTCCCCATGCATCTCATCGATGCAAGTTCAAGACAGCAACTTGTTATACGTGCAGTAAGCAAGGTCACATTGCCAAGGCCTGCTTTGCAAAGTCTTCGTCTGTTGCTAAATCTAGCCAGTCAAGACAGTACCGCAACCAAAGGCAGCACTATGTTGACTCTCACCAAGACTACCTAACCCAACTAATGAACCACTCTACCAGTGAAAATGCTCAAACTGATTCGCAGCCGGAGTTCAACCTGTTCTCTGTGAAATCAACAAGTCATGCTCCCATCAATGTACTAGTTTATATCAACGGTAAGAGCATCATCTTCCAACTTGACACTGGAGCATCTCTAACCGTCATCACAAAGAAGGACTTTGACACTGTCACAGGAGGATCAGTGCCTCTACAACCATGTCACAAGTGCCTAACAACATACACAGGTGACAACGTTCCGGTAATAGGAGAGTGTATGGTTCATGTAAATTATAATGGTCAAAGTGTTAAACTTCCTCTTCTTGTGGTTGAAGGAAATGGACCACCATTACTAGGTAGGAACTGGTTAGTTAAACTGGGAGAGTATATTTTCAGTGAACAAAGCAAGAGAATCTAGTTTTACTTCAATAGATAAAGTAGTATCTGAAAATGAAGGTGTTTTTGGTAGTTCAGGATTACTAAATGATAGGACAGTGAAGATAAGCATTAAAGACACAAATCCAAGATACTGCAAAGCTAGAGTTCCACCTTATGCAATGAGGGATAAAATTGAAAATGAGCTAAGTAGATTGGAATCTAATGGCATCATAAAGAAGGTAGACTATTCCGATTGGGCAACGCCCATTGTGCCAGTGTTAAAGAAGGATGGTTCTGTAAGAATTTGTGGAGACTATAAAGCTACACTGAATAAGCAAATAGAGCTAAATAAGAACCCTATTCCTAACATTGAGGAAATTTCTTTGAATTTGGCAGGAGGAGACAAATTCACTGAATTAGACTTTAGTCATGCTTACACTCAACTAGAACTGCATCCAGATTCAAAAGTCTATACGACAATAAACACACATAAAGGACTCTACCAATATGAA